ACAACACACAGCAAAGAGCACACAAATGTTATACAGGAGCAGCGAGTTTTCCACATACACTCCCCAAGTCGGAGGCTAGCTCAAACCTCCCACTGACTACCAATGACTTGTGGAAAAGAGGTTAGAACCCCGATTTCTTTCACAGCAGTCTGTGTGCCCGCAAGGTATATCCACCCTCTCCACTTGTCCTGGGGACCCGTTATCACGGACACAGAGTGATGAGATATCGAAAAATCATTCACTTGTCACTAGAATAAGATGAGGGTGACTCTTCCAAGGGGGGACAACTGCCTATTACTTGTAGAGATTTCCTTTTACTTCCTGTGTGTTCAGGAAGTAAAGGGAAAACTGCACTAGACACACACACACACAGGCTTTAACCATTCCCATTAGACCCCCAGGCTCCAGCAGTCTATGGACCCCAAACGCCATCACGTCCAGTGCAGGTCCATTAGACCCCCAGGCTCCAGCAGTCTGTGGACCCCTGGCGCCATCACATCCAGTGCAAGTCCATTAGACCCCCAAGCTCCAGCAGTCTGTGGACCCCTGGCGCCATCACATCCAGTGCAAGTCCATTAGACCCCCAAGCTCCAGCAGTCTGTGGACCCCTGGCGCCATCACATCCAGTGCAAGTCCATTAGACCCCCAAGCTCCAGCAGTCTGTGGACCCCTGGCGCCATCACATCCAGTGCAAGTCCATTAGACCCCCAAGCTCCAGCAGTCTGTGGACCCCTGGCGCCATCACATCCAGTGCAAGTCCATTAGACCCCCAAGCTCCAGCAGTCTGTGGACCCCTGGCGCCATCACATCCAGTGCAAGTCCATTAGACCCCCAAGCTCCAGCAGTCTGTGGACCCCTGGCGCCATCACATCCAGTGCAAGTCCATTAGACCCCCAAGCTCCAGCAGTCTGTGGACCCCTGGCGCCATCACATCCAGTGCAAGTCCATTAGACCCCCAAGCTCCAGCAGTCTGTGGACCCCTGGCGCCATCACATCCAGTGCAAGTCCATTAGACCCCCAAGCTCCAGCAGTCTGTGGACCCCTGGCGCCATCACATCCAGTGCAAGTCCATTAGACCCCCAAGCTCCAGCAGTCTGTGGACCCCTGGCGCCATCACATCCAGTGCAAGTCCATTAGACCCCCAAGCTCCAGCAGTCTGTGGACCCCTGGCGCCATCACATCCAGTGCAAGTCCATTAGACCCCCAAGCTCCAGCAGTCTGTGGACCCCTGACGGCATCACATCCAGTGCAGGTCTTTTAGACCCCCAGGCTCCAGCAGTCTATGGACCCCTGACGCCATCACATCCAGTGCAGGTCCATTAGACCCCCAGGCTCCAGCAGTCTATGGACCCCTGACGCCATCACATCCAGTGCAGGTCCATTAGACTTGATGATGCTGAGGGACACAGCCGGAGCAGAGGGAGAGAGAGGTGAGCGCTGACTGTCCCGGGACCAAGGCTCAAGTGAGTATATCTTCTGTATTCCGGTCCCTACACCAAAAACGAGTTAACCCTTGCAGTATGGAGGCATCTCCACTGCAAGGGTTAATTTATTAAAAGCGGGGGCTTCTCTTTAAAGAGACTATCCAAAGTCTTAAAACCCTGCGTCCTCATTATATGCCCCTAGCACCGCCCGGTTAACCAAGAATAGGAAACTGCTAGGACAGCAGTGAGGAAACTAGCAGTGTAAACAACAGGAAGCTGCCCCTTTCCCAGTCGCGAGCCGGACACATCCTGTCTAACGATGCAACCTGATTTGATTATAACAATTACATAGAGTGCCGAGCGCCAGATGCCGCTTGCAGAACACAAGCTGACCGCAGCAGGGGCAATCAGCTCATGATGAAGCAAACAAATGTCGCCGTGCACTGCTATTAGATGTGGCCAATATCAAGATTTGCTATAGGTGCATGAACAGTGAACTTCCCTTCCAATAACATATTACAGAGAGAAGTACAATGTCATAGCAAGCGCCAATAAACCTGAATCCCGGGCACACTTCCAGGTCTGTTTCTTCCAGCATGAACTAGTCTTATCTCCGCCCCCTCCTGTAATAAAGACCGCTCACTGCTGTTCTCTGACTAGTCTCCGCCCCCTCCTGTAATAAAGATCGCTCACTGCTGCTCTCTGACTAGTCTTGTCTCCGCCCCCTCCTGTAATAAAGACCCGTCACTGTTGCTCTCTCTCCTTGTGCAGGGCGACTGGTTTTGTCTCCGCCCCTCTTGTAATAAAGACCGCTCACTGCTGCTCTCTCTCCTTGTGCAGGGTGACTGGTCTTGTCTCCGCCCCCTCCTGTAATAAAGACCAGTCAGGGTGCAGGGTGACTGGTCTTGTCTCCGTCCCCTCCTGTAATAAAGACCAGTCAGGGTGCAGGGTGACTGGTCTTGTCTCCGTCCCCTCCTGTAATAAAGACCGGTCACTGCTGCTCTCTCCTTGTGCAGGGTGACTGGTCTTGTCTCCGTCCCCTCCTGTAATAAAGACCAGTCAGGGTGCAGGTTGACTGGTCTTGGCTCCGTCCCCTCCTGTAATAAAGACCAGTCAGGGTGCAGGGTGACTGGCCTGCTGGGTCCCTCCCACAGCTCTGCTCTCTGCACAGGCTATGAGCAGCACAGAGATGATGTCACTGCTACTCTTACACGGTAACATCTGGGTTTACAAAGGCATTTGGTGCACACAAAGTGAAATCATATCCTCTGTGACTATTGAGGAATACCTTCCAATCCCAATGTTCAGTGCCTGGAGTTCAGCATGAAGACTGTGGACACTGCTATTGTTTGTTTTCCTGCTTCATTGGCACCCTTGTCGCTCACCCCGCCCTGCTTTTATCTCCGCTCCGGGCTGCCACTTGTCCACATGCTATCTATACCACCTTAAATATTGTATTTGGACAATGCTGTCACAGCGGAAAAACTGGAAAGCTGGGCACACCCTTGTGACACAAGAAACATAGCGACACCCTTCTACAGCACTAGACACACGGCTGGCTGGTATGTCAACTATTTTTACCCCCCCTGAGGCAGCAAACTGAACGGCTGCACAAAGCCACCAATACAACCCGGAACAAAATGAGGGGCCCGGCATCTACGGCACTGCGCCTTTCACCAAACCAATCCACCAATGGCAGCCTTCATATTTCTGGCCTCCCCTTTGAGGTTGAGGTCGACCATAAGCAATAAAGCTTTAAAGCAGGGGTAGCCAAACTGCCGCCCTCCAGCTGTGGTGGAACTACAAATCCCATGAGGCTCTGCAAGATTCTCACAGCCACAGACATGACTCCCGGAGAGAGATGCATCATGGGATTTGATTTCACCACAGCTGCAGGGCCGGGCGTTTGGCTACCCCTGACAAAGTATCTAAAACCAGTTTCTTTTGCTGCAAATGGAGGGAAAGGGGTTAGTATCCCTGTCAGGTTTTCCCTGCTGTCTATACCCACGCTATGGAGATTCTCCCTCTGTGTTTGCGTGGCAGAAAATAGTGGGAAATCTGAACTGTTGCAGTTGTCCGTGGAACAGGACGGGGAGGGAAATCTTCCATAACCCGCTTTTATTACTGTCTTGTTACAAGAGACTGCTGCAAACCGTTCCACCTTTCGCTGCCACATTAAAGCCCCGCTCACACCAGATCGGTTGCAATCCATTTTTCAACGGATGTCAACCCAAAACATGAATGGGTGTGAAATGAGGCCACTTCACACCGCTTCGTTGCGTTATGTTGAACTACTTTTTTTTTTTTTTCAGCGCGACCTAACGCACGCGCAGCAGCAGCGTGATCCGGTCTCATTAACATCCATTCGGTTTTTTGGTGCCCTTTGCGTTGGCATCCGTGGAAAAACGGATTGAGACGCAACAGATCGGAAAGGTACAATCGCAGGTCAGCAGAACCTCCATTGACTTACAATTACTTTCCAATTTTGGTGTGAACGGACCCTTAAAAGGGACTAATGCCTTGTTATAAAGGGACTGCTAAAGCTGGCACAATGCAACGGATTGCTTAGAGGTGCTATGACTTCTATTAGGCCACGTGACTTGCCATATCACCAGTCACATGGTGTCCACAGCACAGTTTTCCGGGGCAACCCCCCAAAACCCAACCAGAGAACATCTGTGGTATATGGCCAACATGACAGCGGGCCAGAATCATGGTTTTCACCTGCTTTTGATACCTGTTTGACCAACCCAGACAGGACTCATACTGCGCAGGT